AGAGAGAGAGAGAGAGAGAGAGAGAGAGAGAGAGAGAATTTAATTTTTAAATAAATTATGATTAAAATAACTACAATTGAACCGTTGTATTAATAATATTTATTAATTCTTTAATCTAATTAAATCATTTATATTTTTAAACTATTATTATTACTCTTAATTAAACTGTTAATATTTTGCATATTTTTAAATAAAACATTCTTATTTTATTACCAAAAATAAAACGACAGGAGAATCGCATTGATATTATTGACAAATTCCTCATTTAAATGATGTTCATATATAAGTTGCATGAATTTGTTAATAAGAAATAATAATATAATTCATGTAAAAGCAACACTATTATACAAGTGAAGGGAACAGAGTGTCCCCACTGCACCTGAGTTAAGTATAGTTACAACATACAAGTACAGTACAGTATGTTATACAGTACATGCAATTTCTATTGCAAGTAATATAAAGTGTATGTCTTTACAATGTATGTTCTTTACATTTGCTATATTGTATTGATTAAACCTCCCAAGGTTAATTCACTATCACAATGACATTTCATTTATCAGAAATATTAAATAACTGTTAGGATTTACTGAAGTTGTATAAATACGAGAATAAAAAACAACACACTTAACATTCATTTCAAGTGTTTGCGACAATTATTGAAAACAATTGAAATTTTATTTAACTTTATAAAAATGTCCACAACTTATGATTTTACGGGACGGGTGGCCCTCATAACTGGTTCGAGTTCAGGTATCGGTGCCGCCACTGCTCTACTATTGGCCAAAAGTGGTGCCAATGTTGTGATCACTGGACGTATTGCTGAAAATGTGAACAAAATTTGTAAAGAATGCACAGAAGTGTCACCAAAAGGTCTGAAAGCACTTCCAGTGGTGGCAGACGTGACCAAAGAGGAAGATGTCGACCGACTTCTCGACACTACTATTAAAACTTTTGGTAAATTAGATATTTTGGTGAATAACGCGGGGATGGGATCCCGCGCTCCCATTACTGATGCCGATTATATTCCCAAATTAAAGGCAGTGTTTGACACAAACCTTAATTCTGTGATATATTTAACCCATAAATCAATTCAATATTTGGAGAAAACTAAAGGAAATATAATTAATATCTCGAGTATTGTTGGCATACAGTCTGTGAGTATTTAATAATATGCTTAATTTGTTTTCATTAAGTTAAATTAGATTACTTTACATTAGTTTAAATGAAATAATAATTACTAAATTATAGAGTTATTTGTTAATATTATTATTTATAAATCACAATTAAATTATTTAAAGTAAATGTTTAACATGACAATTTATCATTAAAACATGATAGTACTTAATATTCATGTGTTATAACTATTTTACCAGTTAATTATGTTCCAAAACTGAATAAAATCTATATTTATAAATAAAATAAATCTAATTAAATGTTGTTTCAAATATTAATTTTCAGAGCAAAGATGTGTCGGCCTATTGTATGTCAAAAGCAGCGTTGGATATGTTCACCAAATGTATGGCCGTTGAATTGGGCCCAAAACGCATACGCGTTAATTCAGTCAAGTAATATTATTTACTAACTTATTTTAAATTTTATAAATGCAAATAAACCATGATGTTTAACACATTACTATTTTCAATGTTGATAACAGTCCCGGTTCTGTGCGCACAAACATTATCAGAAATGTTCCCTTAAGTGCCGAACAATTCAAAGTGATTCGTGAAAATATTAGCGGTAAATACCCGGTCGGACGCGTCGGTGAGGGACAGGATATTGCCAACGCTGTTGCCTACTTGGCCGGTGATCATGCTAGTTTTGTGACTGGTACAATATTGGTGGCTGATGGCGGTCACCTTGCCGCTAATGTTAACTTACATTAAACGTGTTAACTTTAAAATTATCATAATAAATAAAATTATTTAACAATAATTTTTATTGATAGAAAATACAATATATTTGTTTATCTAATAAAATACACCTGTACCGATCATAATTTTAAACATTAGTGCGGTTAACAAATGAGTAATTATTAATAAATTATGTTTTTTCACAAATTTATTATAAAGTTATTGAAAACATCATCCATGAGTAAATTTAATTAAAGATTTTAATTATAGTTTCTTTCCAAAATACACGAAAGTTGTTTTAGGCTACTTTTTATAAGATGTAATTTAAGAGAGATTTTGTAAGATTTATGAGTATTTATCTGAAGAGATTAATTATGCTTGAGATTAATTTTATGTAATGATATAATTTTTATATCCATTGGTTGAGAAATATTGGACATCTAAAGACAATAATGTCTCAATTTATTTAGGCACTTTTAGTAAATTAATGTAAACTTTAATGAAAAAATTGAAAAAAATATTTTTGCTTAAATATTTTAATAATTGAATTTATACACATTTTATTATAGTTTAAATGTCTTTAAGTGCATAAATTATTATAAATCTTTTAATGGGTTCAATTCTTATCAGAGACCTGTTCACAATTTGTTTTCCACCTTAATTACGGTTGAGTGGGTAGTATTAGTGCTCTTGTTATAATATATTTTAAAAATTAATTATTAATTTTAATTATTATAATAAATTAAAATTTGTGAAATGTTTGAAAAAATAATTTACGTGAAAATTAGCACTAATAATTTTCGGGTTTGTTTTTGACATAAAAATCTAATATAGAGTGTAATGTCTTTACAAAATATGTTGAGATTCATGAGTTGATTAAATAGTAATAATACTGTATTTAGGTATATTAGGTAAATAGTAATAATAGGTAAATATTGAGGTATATTAGGAACATTATTATCATGAAAGTTATATCGCGACAGAGTAATACATTCTTTACATTTGCTATATTGTATTGATTAAACCTCCCAAGGTTAATTCACTATCACAATGACATTTATCAGAAATATTAAATAAATGTTAAAATTTACTGAAAGTGTATAAATACGAGAATAAAAAACAACACATTTCACATTCATTTCAAGTGTTTGCGACAATTTTTGAAAACAATTGAAATTTTATTTAACTTTTAATAATGTCCACAACTTATGATTTCACGGGACGGGTGGCCCTCATAACTGGTTCGTCTTCGGGTATCGGTGCCGCCACTGCTTTATTATTGGCCAAAAGTGGAGCCAATGTTGTAATCACTGGACGTATTGCTGAGAATGTAAACAAAATTTGTAAAGAGTGTACAGAAGTGTCACCAAAAGGTTTGAAAGCGCTTCCAGTGGTGGCAGACGTGACCAAAGAGGAAGATCTCGACCGACTTCTCGACACTACTATTAAAACATTTGGCAAATTAGATATTTTGGTGAATAACGCGGGTTTCGGAGACTCTTCCCAGATATCAGATGCCGAATATCTGAAGAGTCAAAAGGCAGTGTTTGACACAAACCTTAATTCTGTGATATATTTAACCCACAAATCAATTCAATATTTGGAGAAAACTAAAGGAAATATAATTAACATCTCGAGTATCGCTGGCATACAGTCTGTGAGTATTTTATTAAGTTACAGATTTGACTAATATGTGAGATTGTAAATTTATTATTTAATTTATATAATAAAATAATTTAAATTATAAATAGCTATAGCTAAATAGATATAGCTATAATAAAACAAATTAATAGCTAATCGTACATTAATAGTGTATTATTATTTGTTTATAAGTAAGAAATACATTATATTTTCAATTAATACTTTATTTTCTCGACTTAAAAGTACTTTCTCATAATTATAGACATTTTATGTGTATATTCTTATCACTAAATGTTATCATTAAACCTAACAATTTGATATATAAATCAAATAAAACTAATTTACCTTTTCGTCTCAAATTTCAATGATCAGGGTAAAGGGATGTCCGCATATTGTATGTCAAAGGCGGCGATGGATATGTTCACCAAATGTATTGCCGTTGATTTGGGCTCAAAAGGCATACGCGTTAATTCAGTCAAGTATTATAATTTTACTTACATAGTTAACAATTAATTTTTAAAGTATACATAATTTACACAACTTATACTAAACTATTTGACCCGTAACGACAGTCCGGGTGCGGTTCGCACAAACATTATGAGAAATATGACGTTAACTGAAGAGCAAACTAAGGCCGGATTTGAGAGCATAAGCAGTAAATACCCGGTGGGACGGGTCGGAGAGGGACTGGACATTGCCAACGCGGTTGCCTACCTGGCCAGTGACCAAGCTAGTTTTGTAACGGGCACGATACTGTTGGCCGATGGCGGTCACCTTGCTGCTAATGTTGCCATGGGCACTGAATAATCTAGCTTGATACAAAACACTCTTGAGTGCAGCGGTAGACAAATACAAGGATTGAGATATCATTTATTACTATTGAGTTATTGGTTGTTATGTTTGGGTTAATAAAAAGCATTTTCGGTAATTGTATTGTCATTTATTTGAAACAATAGTTTTCGCACTTTTATTGACATTAATTAAAAAAAATTTGGGAACAAATTATAAGTACTTTTTCTTTTAATTTGAGTGCATATTATATATTGTAAGTTACAACTTGTAACATTTATATCTAATACAGTACAGTATTTTAATTGTTTGCACTATTGTTGTTATTATCATTATGAAACATTAGAAGAAAACATACAAACCGTAACAAAATCGCTATTCATAGTGAATGTCAGCGCGTGTTATACACAAGCAGTGAATGTATCACTTATTGAGGTATTGTTTGCATTCATTTGTATTGTAGTTGTGTTTAGACATCACTTAACTCTCAATCCGTTAATTGTTTGTCATATCCTTTGGATTACTCACAGGTTTGACACAAAACTGATCCACAAAACAGTCTTTCAATCAAAATGAGTGCCAAAAGCGATGATAAAAGTGAAGACATTTGTGTCAAAGTCTTTATGAATCCAAAACTAGTGATAAAGATCTTCTCATATCTGTCTATCGATGAGTTGATACGAGTGGAGAGAGTCTGCAAACACTTCCAGTCGTGCGCCGAAGATTGCTTCCGACAGCAGAAGAGCATTGCATTCAACACTTGTATCGTTAAACAGCGCTTCAAACCAATGGATGCTTTGAGTTGCGATTTGTATGCATTTCCCAAACGACTTCTGGAGACCCATTTGGACGGCAAGACATGTCTGTCGCCAAACAAAGATCTAATGTTATGGTTGGCGAAGAAGTTGCCAAACATTGAGTATTTGGCAATCAATGACTTCCATCTTCATTACAAGACACTGTACGCCGTTCTCGAGGCGTTTCAATCGGTCAAATGGCTATCAATTTGTGGCTTAACTCACTTAACGGACAGACAATCACAACAATTGGGACAACTCTTGTCGCCGAGAGTCACCACATTTGTGGCCAATCCGTGTTTGGAGCACAACATGCAGGGCGTCGATGATGTGGTCAAACTGATCGCACAGTTAACCGGATTAACACATCTCTACGTTTTCTTGGATAAGAGAGACGCTGTCATCGAGTTATTGCATTGTTTGCCGCAAACAATCAAATCATTGCAAATTAACAACACTTGCTTTGACGGAGATTTGGTGCAAACATTGGTTGAAAGTAATGCTAAACAATTGGATTCATTACTGATTCACTCTTCGGTTAATATATCATTTGATCCGATCATCGATGGCATGGATTTGAAAGCATTTGGTTATGGTTTGAATCAATCCAACGGATGGCAATGTCTGCAACGTTTGGCCCAAAAGCAAACACATCTCACTTATCTTCGCCTCAATTTCCAGCATTTTCCTGATTTTGTTGTCACCGAAAATGCGATCCAATTATCAAACGTGAAAACACTTCATCTCTATTCAAGTCATCCTCGAGAGGAAGCGTTTGAATCACTCATGAAATGCTTACCAGAGCTCAAGACACTTGTCTTATTCGACACATACATCGGCTGCAATTGCGCTGACAATACCAATGGCAACAATTGCTTGAAATGTTTTGAGCAAATGTATGATTTGATGGCCGAACACACGGCAATCAAAACACTGGGTCTTTCTTATTACCAGTTGTTTGAAAAGACAGCCGTTTTGTGTCAACAACTCAAACAGTTTAGCGATTTATCGGTCATTCATTTGAATTACGATTACAATCGGTATAACGAAGGCTTTTACGCAAACATTTGCCGTCAGTTTGCCTCCGATTTCATCGATGGCTACACAAGAAACTCGAAGAAGTGGTACACAATTCGTGTCAACAAAGATATTACACAAGACTTTTGTTCCGAACTCCAAATACCAAGAAATTTAAGGATTAGAAGAGATTTGCACTAAAATTGTTTTGCTCTCAATATTTATGTCAATTATCTATTCGTTTAGTTTTATTTGTAATTTACTTTAAATATTCCAAAAGTGATTCTATTTTGTATTTAAACCAAAATTCATATGCAATTAAATATTTGTATCTTATGTTCAAATATCTAGAATAAAACTATTCATAATTTGAAAGTTTATTAATTGTTAATTAATATAATACTGTATATAATTTTGTCCACAAAATACTGATAAATATAAGTTTATAATCACAACATTAAATCAGACGGAAAGGGAAACTTATTTATAATGTATACAATGATATATTGGATATTTATATCGTGTAATATTGTATATAAATTATTTTCCTATTTTTTACAAACACTGATAAGAAATATTGAAAACATGTATTGTTTTAATGATTGTGTTTCTGAAAACTTAATGATAAGACTAATTATTATTAATTTCATTATTTAGTGTTTATTTCCCATAAAACACTATTTGTGCCGACATTTCATTGTTTATTTAATGGAAAAAGTTTTTACTAATTTTTTAACTTTTTTATTTCACAATTTTTGAAATACTATTGGATTTTTCCATAAAAAGCTTTTATATTTTTTTTAATTATATTTTTTTAAACTGTAATGCAAGTACTTCTATATGTTATTTATATTATTAGTTAACTGAGAGAGAGAGAGAGAGAGAGAGAGAGAGAGAAAGTCAAAAAACAAACTTGCTAATCTAATTCCGGACCAGTCAGGACAGGTCTGGCCAAACACTGGCTTTTATATTACTTTAAATACTTGAGATAAAAATAAGATAATTTGTTTTCGAAATCAATAAAATTATGACGTATTTTGGCGGAAGGAATCTCATGAATGAAGTGTTGGTCTGAGAGAGAGAGAGAGAGAGAGAGAGA